AATATCCGATAGATGTGACAGTTAAAGCACCGAAGGATGAAGGCCCATGGCATCTAAGTTTTATATATGATCATCCAGACTATGATATTCAATGCAGGCAATGGAACATATTGGGGGCATATGGAAGAAGTGTAGAACTACCATAGCTTTGTATGGGAGACTTCAATGATATAGTCTGTGTAGGGGAAAAGGAATGTACTAGAGAAATAGCAGTGAGGAAAATTATTTCTTTTAGAGCTTTCTTGGATAACAGTAACTTGATGGAACCCAAAAGCAAAGGGTGCAAGTTTGCGTGGGATAACTACAGGAATGGGAACGCAAATGTCAAGGAAAGATTGGATAGAACAGTGACATTACTGGGTTGGAGAATCTAATTTTTAAATGCCATAGTATTTGCATATCCTCCAGTGGAGTCTGACCACTCCCCTTTGGTGGTGGACACAGAACCAATAGCAGAAAAGTCAAAATGATATTTCAGGTTTGAAGCATACTGGGAAGATGAAGAGAAATGTGTTGAAGTGGTAAAACATGGTTGGGGTACCTCAGTGAGGGGATAAAAAATGTACAGACTAAAGCAAACGTTGAAATGTTGCAGTAAGGAGCTAGCAAAGTGGAGTTCCTCACATTTCTAGAATAGTAGAAAGAGTATTGAAAGCCTCAAAGCAAAACTGGTTCATTTGCAGAAACACAAACCCACAGATACAACACGAGGATATGAGGAGGGTGAAAATAGAAATGGGGAATATGTCGAGAAGGGAATAAAAATTGGGCCAGCGTTCCATGTCAAAGTGTATTAAATGGGGAGACAGAAATACAAAATTCTTCCACACAACTACCGTGCAGATACAGCAGAGAAATAGGATTATCATGCTCAAGAATTAATTTTTTTTTTTTTCATGCTCAAGAATTCATAGGGGAAATGGGTGACAGAGAAAGAACAATTGCTACAGTTGATTCAAGACCATTTCCAAGGATTGTACAAAATAGAGGGAGTTAGGAATTATGACTATATCTTGCAGGGGATCCCACAAAAGGTCACTCAACAAATGAATAGGTGCCTCCTGCAACAACCATCAACAGAGGAGATAAAATCAGTTGTATTCAGTTTGGGGGCCATGAAGGCACTGGGCCTGATTGACTACCTGGGTTATTCTATCAGAAGTATTGGGAAACTATCAAGGGAGAGGTATGTGCTGCTGCCCAATCCTTTTTCCATTCAGGTTTTATGTTGAAAGAATTAAATGAAACCAATATAGCCCGTGTCCCAAAAGTTGCAAATCCTGATGAAATTGGAGAATATAGACCTATAAGTTGTACTAATTAAGCCTCCAAGATTATTTCAAAGTTGTTAGCAACCAGGCTCAAACCATATATGAATACTCTGGTATCACAGAACCAAAGTGCTTTTGTTGGGGAAAGACAAATTTAGGATAACATAATTGTTGCTCAGGAGGTTATGCATTCCATGAGACAGAAAGAAAACTAAGAAATACCACATGGAAATCAAATTGGATATGGCCACAGCCTATGATAGGATTGAATGGGATTTTTTTGAGGGATCTGCTAGTGAGAATGGGGTTTGACCAATGGTGGGTGGGTATTATAATGCAATGTGTATCAACTGTGCGATATAATGCCTTGGTAAATGGAGAAAGGGCAATTCAAATCACACCAACTAGCTAGCTATCTCAAGATCCAACATATGCAGAAAATTGGGAAATATTTGGGACTGCCCAGAGAGTGGGGAAGATCAAAAAATAAACACAGGGATGGCTAAAGGAGAAGATTTTAAACAAGATGGCTGGGAAAGAAGTGCTTATAAAAGCAATGGTTCAGGCCATACCAGCGTATGCTATTTCTCTGTTTAAATTTCCAAAATCCTTTTGTCATGAAATAACTGCAAGCTTCAAGAGGTTCTGGTGGAGTAAGTCCTCGGGAGAAAGAGGCATTTATTGTAAGAGCTGGGAAACTTTGACAAGAAGGAAAATGGAAGGTGGCCTGAGGTTCAGAGATTTGGAGAACTTTAATATAGCTATGCTGGCAAAGCAGTCATTGAGGCTTGTATAAAATCCAGAATCTCTATGGTCGAAGGTCCTGAAAGCAAAGCATTTTAATAACGGGAATGTGTGGGATGTGAAAGCAAGACCTAACAATTCATGGATCTGGAAGGATATAATGGAAGGAAAACAACTATTGGTAAAGGGAGGTCTATGGAAAATTGGAGAAGGGAATCAGATAAGAGTGTGGGAGGATGTATGGATCCCAGGATGTGGAAATGTCCCAAATATGATGCAAAGTAGAATTAACAGAGTGCAAGAGCTTACTGACAGTCCCAAAGAAGGCGGAACAGATCAATGGTGCAGCAGAGTTTCCCTGAAGATGTTGCCAAGAAAGTGTTAGATATACCCATCTATGAGACTCCACAACAAGACAGATTTCAATGGGCCCATAAACATACGGGTCTGTATACAGTTAGAAGTGGGTATCATCTGCTTAATCAGAATGTAAGCAATACTCAGCAGAAGGTTGCACCGTCTTCTTTTTTTCAAGTCCCGGAAGGTTTATGGAAAGTGATATGGAACCTAAAGGCAATACCAAAGGTTAAATCTTTCCTGTGGAAAGTGGTACATGAAGCTATAGCTATGAAGTGGGCCATGTGGAAAAGGAAGATAGCAAGTAGTCCGATATGCCATGTATGTGGGGGAAGAAGAGACTCTTGAGCATCTATTTTTGTTATGCCCTTGGGTAACACAGGTGTTACAGTTCTCCCCTCTACAAATCAACATTGTCATATGTAAAATTAGAAGGATTAAGGAGTGGCTATTTGATACTATGCAAAAGGTGAAAAAGTTTGGTAAGAAAGATGGGGAGGGTGAATCTATACTAGCTTATATGTGCTGGTTCATCTGGAAAGCACGTAATTGTTGGATCTATCAACACCAGAAACCAAGCAGTAAGGGAGCAATCAATCAAGCTCTTAAGACAGTCTCTGAATATAAGCTAAATATGGAATCTCTGGAGCGGAGTGATAATAGTGCAATCATGAATACACAGTGGTGTGCCCCTCCTCCGCCGTTTCCCTCCCTCTAAACTCCAGCCCGAAGCCGAAAATAAGGAATTGTGAATTTAGAAACGAATTGGGTTTGAATTTCGGTTTTAGTGTGTCATTGGGATCGTGAAAATCATGGATGATTAATTGCTGGTTAGAACTGGTTGTGTTTGTCGATGGTGGGGGTGACCGTTGCTGTGGTGGTGGTGGTGGCGGTATAGATGATGCTGCTGTAGTGGTGGCAGTGTTGTAGAGAAGAAAGTTCAGACGGGAGGGAGGCGATTTGGATTGTTTAATGGGTGGTGGTGGTTGGCGTTGCTGTGGAGGTTAATGCAGTGCGGTGGTAGCGGTCTGTGGAATAGAAAGAGGCTGCTGGAAGAAGCGCAAGAAGGAAGGGAGGGGGATTTGGATGGGTTTGTGGGTGGTGGTGGCACCACGGTTGGCGATTCTGTGCAGGCGATGGCGGTGACGGTTGGAAGGGGTTTTGACCAAAGTTTATTGTAAATTCATTGGGTAAAATTAATTAAAATTCAAACTATAACTAAAAATAAATAATTATCCATAAAGATCATAATTTTAAAATTAACTAACTTTGTATCATTTAATTTCCAATAATCTATAAATTGTAATTATAATTGTCAAAATTTTATTTAATGTATATTTAATTTAAAAAGATTAGTGTGAAGAGAGGGTGAATTTGTCTTTTTAATTATTATTATTATGCGGTCATTTAATAAATAATTTTTTGAGTTATAATTCCGGTAGTTATTAATTATCAAAATAATTTAGTTGAGGAAATAAAGAGAAATATATATATATATATATATATTTGAATAATTATTTAATGAAATTTAATTAATAAGTGATGATCAATTATATAAAATTTGAAATATTAATTAAGAAAAAAAATAATATTTTTAAAATGAACAGAAAGTGTAGAATTTATATTTTAAACATAAATTTAGCATTATGGTCCTCACTTTAACAAAATGAGGGTATTATGGCAATTATAAGAAAATTTCTTAATGATATCAGCATTTTTCGTAACTTTTCCTAACTTTGTCAAGTGGGGGGAATCTACATCCTAAACGTTTCAAATGTCAAGGGGTTTCAGTATAATTTTGGAAATGTGAAGGGCTGCCCATATAATAACATCAAATGTTAAGGAGTCTAAATGTAATTTATCCTATTTAAATTTTTTGAAAATAAATTTCCATTTTTTTTACTTCTTTTTCATTCATTTTTGAAATATTTTTGAAACGTTTTTATTTTGTAAATGGCTAAAAAAAATTTGATCCTTGTTATCTAATGCATAAAGAAAAGTCCACAATATTAAAAAAGTCATATAAATTTTTTGGGGTATTCGGTTATTAACATTTTGGGGTTGTGATCAATCCTAACAATTTATGACCGATTCTAACACATGTAGGACCGATCACAAATACCCTAAAATGTTGTAAATAACTCTTAAGAGTATGTAACTTAACCTTAAAAATTATATTTTGCTTTTAAGATTGATCCTAAAACATTAAAAAATCAATCTTAAGTTATTTGTTATAACTTAAGGTCGTATTTGGTTACAAACTTTTACAACCTTGTCGGGAAAATTAGTTTCATAGAAACCAAAAAAAATGTTCATTACAAACTCTTAACCTTATAAAAAAAAACCTCTTAACCAATTAAAACTTTCAATGAAACATGAGTTAACAGGTAAATTGAGAACGAGTTCATTGCCTAATACGAGTTCAAATAACTAGAGAACAAAAAGGGGACAGAAAGCAAAGGGCTTCAAAGAGAACTGATTTGTTACTCCTCTCTGCCCTCTGTGTGAGAAGTGTAGTCTCAATTTTTCGCCGCTCTTTACAGTTTGCTTGAAACTCGTTGCAGTTTGCAGCCTACCCTTTTCAGAAAAGGATACAACTGACCCCCCCTCCCCCTCCTCCCCCTCCCCCTTTCCTCTTTCTAAACTGCTCCAGCCAGTTTGCCAGCCGTCATTGAATCAACACTTCAGTGCTGCTCTTCCCTCATCGTCAATCTTTCCCCCCGCCAGTTCCATCGATGCTTTCATTGCACTCTTGCCCTTTTACTGTTCCATTTGTATTAACTTCTGGAGAGGCACTGTTGTTACCATTTGGTTTCCCTGTACCATTGGCCTTTTCTGACAGGGATGGTGTCTCCACAGAAATGCTTCCGGTTGCTGTACTAGACAATAAAGATTGGGTTGACGAATTGCCAGAACCAGGTGGAGGAAGGAAAACTCCAGTGCCAGGGACTGGTGAGCGAGGTGGAGGATGCCTTAGCGGAGCTGCAGGCCATCCAGCTGAGGCTGGTGGAAGAGCTACTTGTGCAGGAAAAGACAAGGCTGGTGCAACTGCGGTGGGAACAAAAATTGGCTGTATGCCATTTGTAGGTGAAAACTGTGGACGAGCAGCTGGAGCTGGCAATACTCCTGTTGCCGGGATTGGCCCATAATGCTTGGGGCCCACATGATGGCGTATATGATTTGGTGACCTACTAGGAGGTGAGACCCAATGGGAGGGTGATGCTACTGCAGGTGAAGGAAAACGCTGAACATCACTAGGTGTGATTTTCTTTGGTTGTGACTTTGACAAGGTAACAAGTATGCGTTGTTTTCGGATCGAGGGAAGTGCATGTCTGGCAAAATCTGTGGATCTTCCTTGCATTACAAGCATAGATCTGCATTTTCATGGTGAGAAAATAAGGTGATGGAGGGAGCTGGGAACATTGACGCAGTAGTTTTGAAATATGAGATACGAGCAAATAGTCGGGCATGATTGAGTTAAAAAGTAAGAGTTTCTCAGTGATCAACAAAGAAACTATGCTCGAAAATATGGCATTCCTTAATTTTGATCCCATTATAGCTTGTCTGGGAAGTCTTTCTGCTTCATGCACCCCAATATTGTCAAAGTGCATATTAACCCTTGTGAAAAAGCTTCTTAAAAACCAAAATAGCTGAGAATAATTCATGTGTGTGTGAGAGAGAGGGAGTACCCGGGTGCAAGAGAAAGCTCCAAAGAGCCTCTATAATCCCCAGGATAGTCTGCCCCAATTACTTTACCAAAAGTCACATCACACTCAGTCAAGAACAGCACACACACAGGCCTTCCATACCAATGTGGCCACATGTGAGGTTGTGAGTGGTCACCCTACAAATATAAGGCACAATATTAGCTGCCTGGTCAAATGAACAATTTGCAAAACCTTAAACAGCAATACTGTCATTAGCAACCTCATTGAAGATGTCAATAGTGCAAGAGTCTGGCGTTGCAGTAACAATCTGCATAGCAATTAAGCGTTCGATCACTTCCTCCAGTAAGCCAGGGATGGGTTCGATGCTCCGATCTGCAAAATCCAGGAAAAAATCCCAGAAAACCGCATTTAAGAGAAAGCCTTATATTTCCTTTCATAAAAAATAAAAACAGCAAAAGATATATTATTCCAGTGTTTGGCTCATAAGAAGAGCTCTTTAAAATTATGAGCATGCCTTTGGAGGTACCTGTTGCAATTTCATCTTGAATAGGTGCATCTGCAATGGGGTGGCCCAATTGAATCATCTCTCTTCCGTGCCCTTTCATTGGTCTCTTTGACACAACAAATGTCTGCCCTGCTTCTCGTCAAACAACATTCAAAATTATTGCTAACACTTAAATGCAGGGGGCCAAACTCAAAGAACAAAAACACTAGTTCATGACGCTAAAATAGTAATCACAAAAGAAAATCAATGTAGCAAAAGAATTTAAATTCAAAATAAGCACCTCATTTCAAAGCTCCCATTCATGCCCACACTCACGGAATTTGCAATATTTAAGGACAAATAGGAAATGACTAATTTAACATACTTTCTCAGAGCCATATGACTAGCCAGATGCAGGATGTTACATGCAATTTAACCTGTAGTTCACATAAAGAAGACATCCCTCACAAGTCCCCTCTGTAAGATATATTGAAGTTCCACCTTAATCCACAAGCAATAATGTAAATGCAGTCATCACAACAATAAATAAATTTAAAAGCAACTGACCCCATAAACAGGTTTTAAAGTTTCTTTTGTACGAGAGAACTTTACATATTTGACCTGTGCTGTAGGGTGAACTATTCACCAATAACTCAATATACCCCAAAAGCTGGAGTCAATTCAAGTCGGTGCTGCATAGAATTATTTCCTATGTGGCTACGTCACTATATAACTAGAATTAAACCCACATTAACCATCACAATCAGGGTCAATATGCCACTTCTACCAAGGACGCACAGCAAGCAGCAACCAGCTGCAAAACTGAATAGAATTTAGTGTAGCTATATATCCACATTAAAAATTTTACTTTACTCTTAAGTTATAATGACACCCCCTGACCTTAACCTATCTGGTCACCCTTGACATTTCCTGATTTCCATGTCACTGGAAACTCGAACCAAAACTTCTAAAGAGAAATCACCTATTTGCTCTCTGAAATTAAACTTAGCCTTAAAAATTAAATCAAAATTGGGCAAATAACAGAAAATTATGAGAAAGAGAAATCATCTTCCCCCAACCCCCGATCCCTTTCTACAAAGCCCCCATCTAATGCCAAATCCCTTCTTGGGTATCTTGGGCCCCCACAAACCCCCGCCCTCATAGACTAGCCAACCCCACAAACCCCCTCCCTTGTAGACTAGCCAATGTTCTTCAAGCTGACAATGCCCTTAAATATATCCAATCATTTATGAAAATTTTTTGTGTCGAGCGTGGAATTGTCCATCAAACTACTTGTCTACATCATAGTTATCAAATCGTGTATCGGAAGGCGTATCGTAAGATACAAATATTGTATCGTATCGTGTATCGTATCGTGTATCGTAAGATACGATGCAATTTTAAATAAATAATAAAAAAATATATATACCTTTGAAAAAAAATCATACACTCATAAAAAATATAGCATTTCATTAATACTCCACCAACTATTCAAGTTATCAACATAATCCACTACTATTATAATGCAAAGTTCACAACCATAGTTCACTAATTCAAACTTTAAACACCAAAGAGACTTCTAATCCAAATTTCTAACATCCATTTTGAACTCAATCTTCAATTTCAATTGAAAATGCATCATCATCATCATCATTGTGATCGGATGCCAACAAGTCTTCACTTGTCGTTTTTTTAAAAAAAAAATCAGAGCACAAAACGACGTCGTTTTAAAAAAAAAAAAAAAAAAAAAAAAAAATTGCACGTATCGTGCGTATCGTACCAATACGTATCGTATCGTAAAAACGTATCGTGTATCGGACGATACAACGCAAAAACGATACATAACTACGATCCGTATCGTTTTAGGGCTGTATCGTAACGTATCGTACGATACGTATCGCGTATCGTACGATACTAACAACTTTGGTCTACATACATTCTAACAAAAATGGTACTGCCGAACGTAAACATTAGTATTTGTTTTGGGCTGATATTGTTCTTATTTCTATTTTTCTTATTGGTTCTAGCTGTTAAATAGAAATAAGAAAAACATCAGCCCAAATACAAACACCGGTGTTAAGTTCGGCAATACTATTTTGTTAGGATGTATGTGGACAAGTAGTTTGACGGACATTTCCACAGTCAACACAAAAAAATTTCATAAATGATTACATCAACTCTTTTCTTCTTCCTCCATTTTGAACAACAAGTATTTTCTCCTTACTATATCTGAATACATTGCATCAATCTAACCCCTTGTGTCTTTGGTTGTGTTATATTTTTCCATCTGATTGGTTCTAGTTGCAATAAACTATCAATTCGATCAGTCAATTGTATCTCTCTAGGATATTCCGATACTCAAAAAGGTTTTGGCTGCGATAACTATTGCCTTGCTCAATTAAGTGCATCTTTCTAAGATATTTTGGTATTCAAAAGGTTATCAGTGTTAGGATCACGTCTTTCATTGTTACCATGTCAGTATCGATGTTACCTTCTTTAAGTTATCTTCCTTTTTTTTGTGCCACGTCACAATCTTAGTGTAGATTTAGTATCTCCTAATGAGGGGGAGCTTTTGTTGCCTACTATCTCAGACAATATGCATTCTCCTCCAACAACAACGGCTCCTCCACTTAGGTTTACCATCGCTCCATGGATAGACAGGTTATGCCCTATACTCTAGCTCCATAGGCCACAACGACTTCTACTGAGATCCAACCTCCTAAGCCATATGTTGCTCTATTGTCGTCTGATCTACCCATAGCATTACGGAAAGGTATTCGTAGATGTACACATCCTTTTCTACTTTTGTCTTATTTCTTTAGTTTTCTCCATATTTTCGTCGTTTGTATCATTATTATCTTTTGTGTCTATTTTTAATCTTTCAAACAGGTCTTATCATCTCCTGAATGGAAAGTGACGATGGATGAAGAAATGATAGCTCTTCAGAAGAATGAGACAAGGTATCTCGCTCCATTGATTCCCAGTAAACAACCTATTAGTTCTCGTTACATGTGTAATGCCAAGTATCTTTTTGATGGTTCTATAAAGTGCTTAAAGGTGCAATAGGTAGCCAAGATGTGGTGATTTCGGATGGTGAGGAAGATAATAATGTAGAAGTTGCTGAAGATTTGGGTGCAAATTGTGAAGAGGTATCCTCTATCCCAGTTCTTTTGACCAATAGTATCTCTGGTATGAATATTAATAATGAGAGGGAATGTATTGAAAGTGATGGGGTGGGATTTGTTGAGCCTGTTAATAAAGTGATTTGTCAGATTAATAATGATGAATATGATGCTGCTTTGGAGAATCTGGGTGAGTGTAGGATTATGCTTGCTCCATCCAAGGGTTCTTCATTTCTTGTGGATCATCAATTCAATGTTAGAAAGGACTATGATGGTCCTTTGGATGATCAGTTGGGATTGGTGAGTGAAAGAGTTCCTCCTGATAAAGGGTACTACTCTGATCAGGGTAGTTCTCACACTATGGGTTCTGATAACACTGTTAATGAGGTAGATGAAGGTACTAGATTAATTTCTAGTGGGAAGTTTCCTTCTATTAATATATGATCAATCTGATTTCATGGAACATGAGAGGAGTAGGTAAGGAGTCTAAGAGAAGAAGGTTGAAGAAAATGATTAACATGAATGATGTTTGTTTGGTTGCAATACAGGAACCTAAATTGTAAGTTTCTAAACTCCCAGTTTTTGCAAGAAATATTGGTTTAGCTCATATTTGCTTTAATGCTCTTGCTAAGAGGAATATATGGCTTTTATGGGATGACAGAGTCAAGGTGAAAATCTTGTTTTCTCATGAACAAGTCTTGACTGTAGAATTTTCTTTTAAAGATTTTGAGGTTTTTTGGACCTCAGTTGTTTATGCTAGCTGTGATCACAGTGTGAGGAGATTATTATTATGGCAGCATTTGGTAGATATTGATATTTCATCTCATATACCTTGGTTGGTGGTGGGGGATTGTAATTCTATACTAAGTTCAGAGGAGAGGAAAGGGGGTGCTCATCCTTCCCTTATAGCTATGGAGGATTTTGCTAATTTCCTGGATCATAGAGGTCTAAGGGATTGTGGTTTTAGTGGAAGCACATACACTTGGTGTGATAATCGAATGTTACAAAGGTTGGATAGGGCCTTGGTTAATGGGGCTTGGGATTTGAGATTTGATAATGTGGAGGTGGTACATTTGGCTAGGGGGACCTCTGACCATAATCCATTGTTAATTAAAATAATGGATTGTCCAGTTCAGAAGAGGATTTCATACTTCAAGTTCCAAGATATGTGTTGTGAGCATGAGGGGTTTTTCAATCTGATTGCTTCTCATTGGGGAGGTGATTATTCTGAGAATCCTGTTTCTAATTTGTTCATTAGATTGAAATATCTGAAGGCTCATATGAAGTTATGGAATAAGGAGGTTTTTGGGAATGTGTTTGATAATATAAGAAATCAGGAGAAGAAAATTCAATTGGTAGAGAAGGATTTCGATCAGGAATTTACTCTTGATAAATCCTTGGAGCTTGAAGGGTTAAAGAAAGAGTTAGATGAATTTTTAAGGAGGGAGGAGATTTTCTGGAAATAGAAGGCCAATATTAAGTGGGCATTGGAGGGGGAAAGAAATACTAATTTCTTTCATGCTATTGCTAAGAGCAAGGCAGTTAGAAATAAGGTTTCTAGAATTAAAGATGAGGAAGGTTCATGGGTGTATGGTGATCAGGAGATAGCTGGGGTAGCTGAGAGGTTTTATACTAAGTTGTATCAGTCAGAAGAACATGTTATACAAGAGGAGAATTTTGAGGTGATTCCTGAATTGGTGAGAAACCTAGTAAATGAAAGGTTAGTAGCTGAAGCCTCCATGGATGAAGTGAAGAATGTGGTGTCTTCTATGGCAATTGGGAGTGCTCCGGGGCCTGATGGCTTGTCTGGTAAATTTTATCAATTTGCTTGGGAGATTATTAAGTGGGATGTGTGGAAGGCAATTAATTTTCTGTTGAAAGGGGGAGAGGTTCCTAAATCTGTGAATTCTACTCTATTAGTGTTGATTCCCAAGAAAGATGCTCCTTTAACCTTTTCTGATTTCAAGCCTATCAGCTTATGCAATTTTTTGTATAAGATTTTCACTAAGCTGATTACAACTAGGCTTGCTCCTTTACTTCCTGTTTTGGTCTCTGAGGAGCAACATGGGTTTGTGAAAGGAAGAGGCATTGGGGATTGTGTTTCTCTGGGTCAATTGTTGGTAGGAGAACTGGATAGAAAGGTGGAGGGGGGAAATTTGGTGGTGCAGCGGGATATGATGAAGACATATGACAGGATTGAATAGAATTTTTTGTGGAAGGTTTTAGCTAAATTTGGCTGTTCTAGTTTATTCATTCAGATTGTGTCTACCTGTCTGACGAATCAGTATTTCACTATTTGTTTGAATGGATTTAGATATGGCTTCTTCTCTAATTCTAGGGGATTGAGGCAAGGGGACCCTCTTTCTCCTTCTTTATTCATTCTTGCTGAGGAGGTGTTGAGCAGGGGATTAAGGAGCATCTATCAGAGGCAGTTGGTTACTCATTTTTATATGGGTAGAGAGACTACTTTGGTGATTCACCTGCTTTTTG